CGGGGGGGCCGGCTCCTTCCCTCTCCCTCCCAGGCTCGCGCCCGCCCTCCTCCCTCCCCACCTGGTTAAATCTCCCTTTGTCTGGGAGGCGGCGGCGGCGGCGGCGGCGGCGGAGGGCGGCTGAGGAGCCGCCGCCATGGCTGCGGCGCGCACGGCCGCCGGCCCCGAGCGGGAGCGACACCGCCTCCCGCCGCCGCCTCCCCCCGCCCCCGGATCTCCATCTTAGCCGCGCCTCCCCCCGCCCGGGTGGCTCTGGGGCCTAGTCGCCGCCGGCCCCCGCCGCCCGCCCCTTCCGCCCCCTCGGCTCGGAGCAGGTACCTGGTCGGGCTCTTCTTGTCGCCCATGGTCATGGATGGGCTGTACCCCAGCCCCCCCACAGCCGCACCCGGCGCCGCTCCGAGGAGAAAGGCCGTCCGAGAGTCTTCGCGGACCGGCCCCCTCCCTCCCCCGCGCCCGCCCGCCCGCCCTCAGCCGCTAGGGCTCGAGCTCGAGCTCCGGCCGCCGCCGCCGCTGCCGCCGCCGCTGCTGCTGCCAGTCTCCGGACGAGACTAGTCCCCGCCAGCGCCGCCTCCGCCGAGTGACTGACGAGGGGCGGGGCCGGGCGCCGCGCGTCACACGCCAGGAAGCCAATGGGAAAGCGGCGGCGGGCGCCGCGAGGGCGGGGCGCGGGGGAGGGCGGGGTGTGGCGGACGTGGGCCGGGCGGTCGGTGTGCGTGCCCGGGAGTGTGTGCGCGCGGGGGGCGCGCGTGCCTGCCGGTGGCCCCGCGGCCCGGCTCGGCGGAGCTAGGGAGCTCGGTGGGGCGCGTGTGACCGCGCCCGCGAGCTGGCAGCGGGCTTGGCGCCCTGTGCAACCGCCCCTCTGGATTGCCGCTCGGACCCAGGCCCGAGGACGTTCCAGCAAGTAGTTCCTCGCAGTTTGCACAAGGCGCGGGGGCTTCTCGCAGGCGCACCGCCCGCGGCGCCCCGAGTCTCACAATTCCCCGAGAGCTGGAAGGGCCTCGTTTGGTCCGCGTTTCCTACACTTGTAGTCTTCTGCCACGCGGAGCTTTGTATATGCCACTTCCCAAGTGCCTGCTTCCAATCCTTATGCCAACCCAAAGCCCCCACCCCAAGGGAACTCTCCAGAAAAGGGGTGGTGTAACTGAAAGCCCGAAAAGCCAAACCTTGAGCTTTGCACCCACTCTTGCTCGGACCACCCCAACATACACACACACACACACACGCACACGCACGCGCGCGCGCGCGCGCGCGCCTGAGTAGGGCGTTTCCCTAGAGAAGTTGCTATTCGGATCCTGACAACCACATGCCTGCATTCTAACCTCGTGCTGCAGCTCCTGCATCTCTAAAATGAGGCTAGTAACCCTCCTGCTATGATTGGAAAATTCAGACACAATGGAGGGTAAGCACGCAGCATTTGGGAAACGCTTGGGCCTGGATTGCACACCACTTTCCACACAATCGTTGAAGATGGGGCATGGGCACTGCCCCTCACTTTCCACTAGACTCCAAGAACGCGCCAGGCAAATTAACCACTCAAGACCCTCTACCTTTGGGCACTCGGAAGGCACTGTAGGGGGAGGACCCAAGAAAAAAAGTAGGACTTGGATGGACTGAAGTCTCACGTGGTAGGAGGGACAAGGACACAGGATGGTGCTTAAAGCAGGGGGTGGGGGTGGGATGTGGAGGGAAGATAAGGAAGGGCCTAGCCTGGTTAACATGCAAACGCTGAGTAGGATGTTATCAGCATGCCCCACGCAAGGGAGGCTTACCTCTTGCAGAACCAGGGAGCAGGAAGTCATAGGACCAGTCCAGGCATCAGAAGGGAGAGAATAAATGAGGCAGTGTGACAACAATCAGCACACTGTGTCCTCTCCAGTCAGGAGCACCCAGGAGAAGCAAAGTTGCTTAGCAAGCAATGGCCAGCAACCTTCCTGGCCCTGGCTGCCAGAGATGCCTTCCCAGGCAGGGTGGGAGGAGAGGAAAAAGCCAGGGAGTGGAACCCTAGGGACAGTGGGGCCTGAAAGGGAACTGAGGACCAGGCACAGGAGCTGTGTGGCCTGATGCCACAATCTGCAGCCTTCAGTGTCTCTCTAGGACGCTACCCCTGGTGAGACACAAGGAACATTAAGAATCTTCCTAGCTGGGTAAAGCTGGTAATCCCAGCATTCTGCGGGGCTGAGGCTGGAAGATCACAAATTCCAGCTGACCTAGGAATTTAGCATTTTTAGACAGATTTGGGGAGTGGGGTGGCACAAGACTGTGATGCCTGCTTGCACTTGGGAAACTGAGGCTGAAAGATCCCCATGCGTTTGAGGTCAGTCTGAGGCACATGAGTTCAAGGCCAACCTACACTACACTACTACACAACAAGACCTTGGGGGAGGGGGGGAGAGAGAGAGAGAGAGAGAGAGAGAGAGAGAGAGAGAGAGAGAGAGATGACCTGGGCTTGGGATGTAGTTCAATGTGAAGGCCCTAGACTTAACTTCCCTGTACCAAAAAGCAGAAAGAGGGAGGGAGAAAAGTTCCTGGAAGCCTGGTACGGTGGTGCACATCTATACTTCCAGCATGAGAAATGCTGAGGCAGGAGAATTGTGAGTTCATGGCCAATCTAGACTACATAGCAAGACCCTGTCTGTCTCAAAAATCCAAAAAGAAAAATTCCACCAGTCTGCTGAAGTATATTGCCTGGTATGTGGGGAGACCCTGGATTAGATCACAGGCCCTGAAAGAGACAAAAATCCTACTAAAGGAGTGGTCTCTAGAGAACTGATAACCATAGGATGGGGGAAAGTGACTATTATTATTATTATTATTATTATTATTATTGACAAAGTACACAGATCATTTCACACCTCAGTGCATATCGTTAACATCCTTATATCACAATGTAGACAAAGGTGTTGTGAGACATTTTCATTCTCCCTGGGACATGTCCTCCACTACCTTCTCAGGTAACCAGTATTCCAATTTCTGTCCGCAGAGATTAGTTTTGCCTATTCATGAAGGCAGTGTGGGATCTACTCTTGAATCTGGCTGGCACTTTTTTATTTTTTCTTGCAGTACTGGAGATTGAACTCAGGACCCTGCATTTGCCAGGCAGGTGCTTATTGTACTAAGGTATCTCCCTGGCCCTGGCTGGCACTTTTTGCTTAACATAAAATTTATACTATTCTTCCACATTGATGCCCATGTCAGTGGTCCATTTCTCTTTCTGAATTGTGTAGAACTCTATTGCAGTTACAATTTATTTTTATTTGAAGGACATTAGGTTTTTTTTAGTACATCTTTTTATATCTTTGTCCTCTGTCACCCTTTTTGCCAAAAAAGAAACAGTTTTTGAAATAGTTTTAGGAAAGACATGTTTCAAAATAAACAGCTAATTCCTAGGAAATCCTCACTGGAATAACTGTGAAGGTCCAGTTTCATTCACCTATTGGAGGTAAATACCTATTGAAAATCTCCCCCTTCTTAAGAGCAGAAAATTCCATGCCAGGTGGCTTTAGGCTGAGAAATTTCAGCCAGAGCTGGGTAGCCAACAAAGCCACCTCCAAGAAGTTGCCCTGGACTGGTGTGGGGCCAGGGGACAAATGAGACGTAACAGTCCCTCCTTGCCCCTCTGTTGCCTGTCTTGAACTGCCGTTTCATATTTCATTTGAAAGAATTACTGGTTTTAGAAGCTATTTGAAACTGGTGCTGTCAGTGTAGATGCTGGTTAGAATCACTCCCCAACAAGTGTCTGGTATGATGCCACCAGAACCTTTCACAGTTTAGAACGTTTGTGTTTTGTCTTCTTTTCCCTCATTTATTCCACCTTACTCTAACCAGCATCATTGCTGGTCCTAGAGCAGTCACTACCCTCAGAGCCTAGGGCCTTTGTACTTCCTACGCCCTCTACTTAAGAATGCACTTTACCCAGATATCAACATGGTCAGCTACCTCCCTTCCTTCTGATCTTTTCTCAAAGGTCACATTTTCAGTAAGGCTTGTCCTGGTCACTCAAACTAAGAATTTCATATTCCAGCCCACAGTGCAATACCTTAAATCTTCCATTTGTGCTTTCAACTTTCTGTTTGGCATGTATCACCACCAAAATACCCACTGTCCACCTACCTTCTTTAGCAGATTCTTGGTCTAGTAGAACATCATATCCACAATGACAGGGATTTGTTGTTGTTGTTGTTGTGTCGTTCTTTCTGCAACCCCAGAGACTGAAAGATCAAATGTGCCAGGCAGGCTTAATTCCTGTCCTTCTATACTTTACATTCTACTAAAGGGGCCAGATATCGTACAAGCAATTAATTACAACTGTGTCTCTTGCTACAAAGATAAATAAAGGATTCAAGGTAAGAGTATACTAAGGAAGAGAAAGCACTGATACAGCTTGGTGAGGTAGAGAGAGTTCCCTGGAAAAGCAAAAGTTACCTAGGAAAAGACAAGGCAAGAGTGTTCGGGATTGTGATATTTTGGAGGAGCTGAAGGCAAGCAGCTGTGGTTGGAGTTGGAGAAAGGAAAGGCGAGAGAGGCAGGATCTGGCTACATCCCACATGGCAGCCTGGGCTGAGCTGGACACGAGGGCTTGATCCTGAATAAATGCATCCGTGGAAACTCTTGATGGGTTTGCCAAGAATTGTCCACTCAGGATTGTCTGTGCTCCTGTGCCTTAATGAGTGAGGCACTTGGAGAGGCAGACTCCTTTGGGGAGGAGAGTTAATGGAAGGACCCTTAGAGCGGTCAGGGAAACGGGTCAGGAGTGGCAGTAGGAGTGGGCATCCTTCCTTTCTCCTGCTCAAGAAAGATAGGAAAGCCATTGCTGCAAGCCACAGGAAGGGCCTGGAAGTTCACACCACAGCTTCCTCTTGCCTTGAAATTTGTAACTGCTACTCCTAGGAAGAAAAACTGAAGGAAACTTCATAAAGTCTCAGTCTTCAAACCTTAGAAATATCCAACAAATATGTTAAAACAAGTAAGAATGAAAAAGCCTTTCTATGGAACAGTTCAGACCTTTCCCATGTCCCACCAAGGTTATTCCTGATGGTTCAAGTTCCAAATGAGTCCAGGCTGAGATTTTCCACAACCTGCAATGATGAGGAAAATTAGGGGCAAATACAGGAATACTTCCTAGGTACAAGTACATTCACCAATGGTGAAACTTTGGGAAGAGCTAATTTTTATTTTGAGATCATCTCATCCCTGTTTTTTTTTATTTTCTTGGAGTGTTGACTAATTCTAATACCCTCCTCCCCTTTTTGTCTTTGTGTGGTATTGGGAAATTGTACTCAGGGCAATCTACTCTTGAGCTATGCCCCTAAGTATCCCTCCTTTAATGGAGTAATAGCAATAGAATTTACCGGTTGCCTGTCTTAAAATTAGCTCAGTTGGCCAAATCACAAGTTTACAGTTCTCTGTTGGTTCCCCAACTACTCCCCTCACTAAGCTGGTCCTTAAAGTTTTCAGGGTACCACAATCCCAATATCCTTAATGAAACTTTCAGAGCTGTGGCAACTGAGGAACAAGGAAAAAAGCTACCTAAGAAGAGCAAGAGCTAGAAAAATTACAATT